AATAGAAATGTCTTTGACTACAGAAACACAGAAGATTATTCCAGAAATACACAATTTTCCTCATATAGGGGGTAGGTGATGTAATTCCTACTCTCTGGCACTGAAATCAGGGGCTGAAGATTGATCTTTCCTGTCCTTGAGTGTCTCTGACTTGCTTGACAGGCCAGAGCTGGCTCCCAGATGTTTAAATTGTCCTCAGCCTGTGATAATTTATTTATCTGTTTATGTGTGTTACCAGAAAAGTATCTCTCAAACTCTTGACTCATTTGCAAGGGAATCCAGAGGGAACAGTAGCAGCATATAATGTTACTAGAAAGTTTTCTTTTAAAAGTAGGTCTGCTTCTGCTTTGGTCATACAGCGGGCTGGAAACGTGACATTCAGCAATTTTCTTTTCTCCTCCTGACATCCTTGAGACTTTGCATTTAAACATGTGGCAAAAACCCTTCTGTCACAGACTTGTCTGAATGTATAGAGCAAGCCTAAAAAAAAAAGAACCTAGAAAACTTTGATCTCTGTACACTTTCAGCCATAAAAAATTATAGTAACACTCAAAGTGTCAGACATTTTTTACTTGTTAAAAGTGAACTATTGTGGTACAGTGATTTATGACCTTGCATAAATCTATTGGAGCAAGCAGAAAAATAGTCCCTGTGTGCTGCTGTATTAAGGTAGCAGAAGAATACTCATGACATTCTGACTTTAAAAAAAGTATTTTTGTTAAGTTACATGACTTGGAGCACTGGGAAAAAACTGTTACGTCTACATAATTTTTTTCGCACTTACTGGACTTCATTGTTCACAGAGAGAGTGTCAAACAGACCCAAGTAATGGAGCAACTATTTAGATTATCATAATCTTAAAAATTAAAGCAGAACCACTGGCCACCTCTGAAGTGTTTGGTGTTTGAATACAAGACTGAAATCAAGCATTGTAGCATTCCCACCTCTGTCTCAGCTGGCCTCAAGGCAGATGGCTTAGCATTAAGTAATTTCTTATGACATAGTTTTGCAGCACTTTGTCCTTACTGAGACAAAACTTTTTTATTACAGCAATGATACAAATACTCTAAATGGGGATTACTGCTCTGAGCCTATGTTTTTCATTCATAAAATACTGTTTGGTACATTGCTAAGTTTGCATTTTTTTCTGTTGAAAACTTTTGGCCTTCTGTTAGTAGATGATCTTACTCTGTCTCAGAATTGTTTTTCAGTGCTTCATGTCTCTGGCATTTTTTAAAAAAATCTTCTCTCTGTTGAATTGAATAATTTACTAGGCTGAAATTGTCATTCCTTCTTCAGAGGAATTCTTACATGCCCATTTTGACTGTTAAAAGTTTAGTTTTCAGCATTCCTTTGTAGGAGGAATATAACTGTGCTTAATGAAAGAATTGTCCACTGCTGGCCACATTCACATCTCTTCTTGAAATCGATGATATTTCACAAATTGTATGTGTGTGAAGCATCATGTATATTTTAATGGACTCTATGTTTACATTTTGCTATATTTTTTTAGTAATAGCACAAGCCATTCCTTTGAGGACTGGGGGAGAATTAAGAGTGGATGAGGCTCTGGAAGGCAGAAGGAATACTGATGGGTTGAGTTTGTTTTCATTTGCAGAGGATAGTCAGTGTTTCATTCTTTAAATGTTGTTGGGGTGGCTTTGAAATGCTGACTATTTTCAGTTCATTAAATTGCTGAAATTGCATGTGACTTAATATAGTCTACTGAATTTAATGCATAAATATTTGAGAATGTTTTGTAGAAGGAAATGCTTCTCTGTCCTTCTGGCTACATGGAGAATTATCTGTTCTGATGGTAAGCAAATTGCACAGAATAGTTGAGGCTGTGAGGCAGAAAGAGCTCTGGAGAGATGTGACTGGAGGGTGTTTTAGCTGTGCTGTTTATGCCACTTGGGGAACTCGACTTGGRAACAAAATGACTATAATTTTCTTTTGGTTTTCCTTACAAGACTTTTAGTAAAACTACTAAGTCAGAACTTCTATTTGACATTTCATCTGGGAGATGCTTTGTCCAAAAATATTTATCTTCAGGGTTGAATAGCAGAGTCTTTGGAATGACTTGTCTGCAAAGAAGCATACCTCCTGTTCACTTGGCAATATGTTTTTCCTTGGATGTGTCCCTCACCAGTATTAAATCAGGCCATCCTTCTTAGTCTGAGAATGCTAATAAGATCAGTGGCTAAAATGGAATGTGTTCCTTACAGACTAATCATTTATAGGCAACCATCAAACAAAAGTGGACAGTAGTACAGAATAGAGAGTAGTATAAGAATCATTACCACTATTTTTATTCTGAAAGCCTCCTTATAAGCAGTGGCTGTATATATTAATTTTGGCACAAAGCATATATATGGATTTGGGCAATGAGCTGCATGGAGCCATTGGGAGCCTTTCCAGGAATTACCATTGAATGAGCTAGTGGTGAACATTACGAAAAAGCCAAGCTTTTCCACTGACTTTGAAAGCATTACTTTTAAAAGAAATCTTTGTCTAAAACATCAAAGTTATTTTTTAGATGCATTGAACTGACAATTTTCAGAGGCCAGAAATTTTTTTTATAGGGCAGGGTTGAGACGGAGAGTGACACAAAGAAATTTGTATGAGTAATGTGCATTATAGTTGGCTTTTATTTTGTCATTTGTACTCTTGAAGATGACACCAAGGGCAAAAACTAGAAGGGATATGAATTCAGGGTTCTATGTACAGAAGGCACTGCAATCCCATGGGAAGCAGTAGCTGACTTTAATCTTTCTTTCAGCTGCTGTTAATATGCATGCCATTTCCTCTACAAGAATTCTTAGCCCAGTACGGTGCAGATCTGTAGTGTCCTGTCAGATCCTTTGCTGARTCTCAGTAGCTTATGTGGTGGTGCCTTCCAACAGCTGGGAGTTAGATGTTTTAATATTCAAGTTTAAAACGAGATCATTAATTTTTTTGAGTCCTGGAGAGTAAGGAATAAAATTTTGAGTGTTGTACATTTAGAGTTCTTTATTAAAGTTTTTTACATCATGTCAAAAAAGATATCTCAAACCCTTACTGGCTTGCATGCCAAAAGTCTGTATTGTTTTAATTATCTCATGGCACCAACTTGTAAGTGTCCTATGAATTCTCTTCCTTTAGTTCCAAGTTATCTCTGCTTTCAAGAGCCCTCTGTGTTGGAGCGTTGTCATATCTAAATACTATCCCAGTACTTGTGYCCTAGAACTGTCTAGAAAGATTGATTTCTGGATAAAATACAAGTCGAGGAGTCAGAGGATCTGGTTCCYATTCTTGTTTCCTGTATGATTTTTGGCAGATTTCCTCATCTGGACGTTTGAAATAATAACTGCTCCCATCGTGGGATTCTGAAGCTGTATTAACTGACAGCAATAAAATGTGTTGAGATGTATAGATGAAAAGGTTTATAGTAAYGCAAAATCACAGAAAAGTAGATGCAGAAGCAGTAACTTAAAGCTAATTGTTTTATCATATTTACTTTGACAAACAACTTGCATAGAGTCCTTATAGTCCAAGCCTCCCAACTGAAACGCACTGACACATAAATTTGCCCAAAGTGAACTTCTGCTGAGGTGAGATTTGCAGGATGATGGAATTCCAGATAACACTTTGTTTACTGCACATTCAGCTGTGGGATTTACTTGCCTTTTGTATAGACAAAAGAGTTTGGCTAATGAAGTCATCCTTGGAGATTTTTGAGATACTTTGTTCTTCTTGCTGATCTTTTGTACAAAACTTTCATTGTGTATGCATCTGTTTGTTTATACACTGCCGACTTAAAACAGAAACTCCTGTAACCTAAGTATATGTTGAAGAGTCAATACTCATTCTTCCTACAGACCTAGCAGTTTTTTGGATTAAAGGACAAATTTGGAATAATCTGTMTGCAAATAATGCAGACAAACTGTATCTAGCAAGCAAATAGCATTCTTTGCTATTAGACCTTAGACCTCTCTAAACAATTATAATCCTTTCTCCCTTTCTCTTTAATGCAAAAATTGTCCATTTTTTAATGTGGCCAGCAGTGTGGAGAACTGGGGTTGTGTTAATGATGCCCTTCTCCTTGTTCTTGTCTACTGTATTTGATCCTGTAGTCAGCTATGGAATAATGTATGGAGTGACAAGGATGGTATCTTGATTGTATCCAGCTGTCTGGAACGAGTCAAGGGCAAAGCAGCCTTCCATGTAGCCAAGCACCCACTAAAGAATACCAGAAATATTGAAATTTAAGCCTGTTCCTGACAAAGGAAGCAGGTTGGTTAGATAYAAAGCCAGCTGTGAAAGTAGTTAGGTTGTAGTCATATCTACTGAACTTAACATCAAAAGTTTCATTTTAATTATGCTTGGGTTTAATTAGGGTTAAAATCTTTTTGGATAGTCATTTGTGTTTCTCTGTAAGAATTATTTTAATATTCCATTAATGGCCTTTTGCTCTGGCATGTGGCTTCTCTGAGTTGCAGGGTCCTTCCACAGCAAGCTTATGCTTTTTTGTACTTCTTCCTGGCAGCTTTTTATTCCAAGAATTCAGACTTAGAAGTATTTCAGTGATCTTTGCCCACTGAAACTCTACCCTTCCAAAGCAGATGTGTTGCATTTGCTTTCTGTGCAGGCCTGGTTAACAGTCTGTCATGTTTTTTTCTTTTCAGGTGTGGCGTGAGTTCCCCGACAGGTTGGTTGGATATCCAGGCCGCCTGCATCTTTGGGATCATGAGATGAACAAATGGAAATAYGAATCAGAGTGGACCAATGAAGTCTCAATGGTGCTCACTGGGGCAGCCTTTTATCACAAGGTAATAGACARCTTGTACTGTACCAATGTGAACCTTTAAAAAAGATCTGGATGTGTTTCTGTCATGTGGTGCCATAATTGTTTTTTGCAACAGAGGACTGATTGCATACTTTCCCTATACCTCTTTCAGCTGCTGTGAAAATTACTGATTTGTCTCTCCCCGTAAAATAAAATCATTACTTGCTTTTATGACCTTACAAAACTTGCCAGTTTGCATGATCTGAAAGTACATAGGAAACTTTGCAGTGAATGTAACTTTGTAGCTAGCAGGTTAAGAAAAGAGAACCSATTTTAAAGAAATTTGTGTGCTGGTCAGGAAAGGAATAATTATGCAATTTAGTGCCCAAAAATTAATTCTATCTGCTGAAGTAGTTCTAGTCTGAAGGCAATATCACCTAACTGCCTGCTGTTCCATGACTGAAATATTTACTCTTTCAGTTACTGTATCTATATTTAAAATTATCTTTTTTCTCTCTCCTTTTTGTCTGCAGTATTTCAACTAYCTTTACACCTATAAAATGCCTGGAGACATCAAGAATTGGGTGGATGCTCATATGAATTGTGAAGATATTGCCATGAATTTTCTAGTAGCAAATGTCACTGGCAAATCAGTCATTAAGGTGGGACTTTACTGCTGTTTATCTTTACAAAATTAAAAAACATGATATACATACTCAAATTTGTTCAGTAGGCTTCAATATATTACTTAATCCTCCTTTTTCTCTCATTTTCCCTCACTATGGTATCTTRTTCTCTTTCCGTTATAGAAAAGCCCTTCTAGTTAAATTTTTGTGTTAGCAGAGAATTGTTTCTTACCAGTTGTTTCTTGTGGTTATTTTAGCCATCTAGATGAGCTATTAAAAAGATAATTTAAATGACAGCTGTACRTATGTGCTTGTATATGTACATGCCCACATACATATATTTTAACTATTTGAGATTGCTAGAGGAGAGAAATTGCCAACTGTCCACAGCTCACTCTRTCATGACCTGACAACAGCTGATTTATAGGAATGTTAATTGCAAGAACGTTAATTGCAAGATCAGCTTTAAATGAACTTTTTATCCCTGAATTAATTTCCTGACATGTTTCGACACGTTTTCAGGTCTAGACATTCACTCCGTACATTCATTTCAAAGCRTGTCAGCTCAGAATGAGATTTAGAGGCCACCAGGCATTACTTCAATTAGCAGGGTCCATTTTCCCATCTGTCCATCATCATTTACTGGGACTGGTGGCTGCATTTCCTAGAAAAGTCTTTAGAAGATAAAGCGTGTGTTTTTGCTGAAAACGTTTTTGAGCTGCATGAGGGCACAGCAGAGTAATTTGGCACCTCTGTGCGATTCGGAGAGTCTTGCAGGGTTTGCCAGTCAGCTCTTAACTGGAGAGAGCAAAGGAGCGCCTGTTGGATTAACGTTACGGTGAAGTATGGGAAGCTGTATTTCATCGCTGTTATGGCTGCAAGAACAAATGGTGTTTATACAGGGACCTTGGCAGTGAGAAAACAGTCATTAAACAGGAATTAAGGAGCTTGTCATCGCCACTTCTTTTCAGTTACAGAAGGAAAAAGCCCTCCAAGCCGTTTTTATTGGGCCCCTGTGAATTTTGCAGTCAGCCGGGCCAGATGGAGCTGAACGGAGGAACAGAGTGGCTTTTTTTTTTGTACACCCCCTCTTTTTGAGACAGCTCAGCTTACACTGCAGRCATGTTCAGAGGTATTGCGCTGTTCTCTGTGCAAGGAGATTAATGTCCCTTCTGTTGGCATTTGATAATATCTGGCRTGCCTTTCTGCAGGTGACCCCACGGAAGAAGTTCAAATGTCCAGAATGCACAGCAATTGATGGGTTATCACTCGACCAGACACACATGGTGGAAAGGTGAGTGACCACTCTTTATTTCTCTCATTGCCTTGTTCTGGTCCCTCGAATCTTATCCTGTGTCTCATTAAATTAGTATCAAAAATGATAGTGTTTTATAAATTACTAATTTTGAAAGAATGTTACATGGGTTTGATCACTGTAAGTCATTCCAACAATGGATGATATGTCACTGAAAAGTAGACCACTACCAAAAAGGACTTTAGAAGGGCACAATTTTTAGCAGCTTTGCTGTAAAGCTTATAGGACACATATATGAAATTCAGATTCTTGGCAGTACTTTCAGTAATACCACATTTCTGTTTGCCATGGAATATCAACTGTAATAAGTATGATTTTTTTTTTAACCAGATAGTTGGTAGCTTACCAAAGAGTGGAAAGGATATAAATTAATAAATGATATTAATAATATCATTTGTAACATTATTTGTATATTTTCTTTTCTCCAAGGATTGTGAAGCATATTGCTTCCACTAGTGAAGGGCATTTGCTGCACAATTCCATGTTGCATTTTTTAACAATGGCAGCATTATTCTATTTCTCTGAAACTTTAGTTTTGAAATTAAAAATGCATTTGGAAAGGCAATGAATGCTTAGAGTGAAATACTGAAAGTTTTTAAGTATGAGATTTTCATTCTCTGYTTTACAGTGAAAAGGCTTTCTAGCTTTGACCAAGATGAAAGACTTCTCTCTGCCTTGGTTTCTGAATGTGGAAAATAAGGGAAAGTTACTTCACTTTTGCAAAGCTGTTCCACACCCATATTTGAAATGGGCTGTCTGACCATAAATGTACATATTAGTTATCAGGTGGAATTAACCTGAGATTTAGGACTAGCAAAGACATCTCACCTTACTCTTCTTGCACTGTTGCATCTCTCCTACAAACTTTGGGAAAAGTAATTTGCAGCCATAGAACTGATGGGATAAGTAAGCAGGGGGAAGAAGTCAGCAGAAACAGRCAGCTGGACGTGATCTTAAGGGTCTCTTCCAACACTGACAGTTCTATGATTCTAAGAGGTGACAAAAAAAGAATCTGACCTGTATTTAAAATAGGCCAATTTGGATTTGCATAGAGAGGTATAACATGATTGTCTTACTAGTTATCTTAACAGTGACCTTTTCTCTGTCCTCTGCAGAACTCAGGAAATATAATGTTGTTTGGTCTTTAATAARATGGGATTAAAAAAGGAGCATGCAAGTCAGAAGTAAAACATACCCCATTAAGATAGTAAAAATTATTCTGCAGAAAAATACTTGAGAAAGGTGTGGGAAGTTTTGTAGATCTTAAATGCCATCTGAAGGGGAAGCATAAGAGGTTTCCCCATGTCTAACAATTCTGCACTGGCTTGCAAATTGACTACCTGAAGCCAGTTAAGCTTTCCTATGGTCATAGCAGTAGCACTACTACAGCACATGGGAATTTTGRTTGTGAACTGGATTCTCATTAAGGTAAATGCTGTAGAAACAGGAGATGAAGAAGTACTTTATGCCTTAAAGTGCATTATGATTCTGGGTAAAGGTCTTGTTTCCATGTCTATAGGAGTTCTTGCATCCTCAGAGTAAGGTGTCATTGTCAGTTTATTGAAAACATTTAAACTGCTGCTTTGCTTCTCTGTTATTTCGAAAAGTGGAGAACACTGGGTTGGGGGAAGTGTTAGGTTGACTGCAAATCCACATACTTATATTTGCTCAACCAAAGGAGTACATGCTGAGATAGAGTCTCAGTGSGGGAGAATCTGCAGAGATACACAGTTCAGGTGTATTCAGGCTTGATTTTGGAAATCCTTAATAATATACTGAAGCTGCATGCTACACCTAATACCCTCTTGCCCTTTGCTATCATCTACCTTCAATATAAGGGAGTTATTTGAGAAACTGAAAGATTTCTTTTTAATCTTCTAAGCTAGATATTAATTTAAAGTGGATAATAAATAGTAACAGCTCCTAGAACAAATTTTCCTAACTTAGCAGTAAGGCTCTTGTATCTATCTGTGTGTCTGTCTATATATATATATATATATGCACTATTTTCAGGGTCAGGAGAGAAGCTGAATTAAAAAACAACATGCATCAGGAAATCCTTGTCCTTTGTACTGATAACTTTACAGTTTTGGGCATCAGGAACAATACCTGAGGTATCAGGCAAAGAGCCATTATCAGCTTCATTTGCAGCTTCCCCAAGTGCCTGACTCGTTGCTTTTTAGCATTCAGAAATAATAAGCAGGTAGTCTGAGCTAATTACTTGCCCGGATATCCAGGGATCAACCTACTGTGAAACAAACAGTTTATCAGGGTTGTCACATACATGCACAACATTTAGTGTTAGGTTTCTGGTTCAGAAATAGCAGAGAGATGCCCGGCAACTGCCTGATGGTTTTGTAAATGGAAAAGGTCTGAGAAGACAGTTGTGGAGATCTGTCCAGGAAAGGCATGTAACTAACTGGTTTTGTTGGGCATTTTAACTCGTTCAGTGGAGAAAAAGGAAGATGGTACAGATGAACTCTGTCCCTTAATAATAAATTTTATTTTTTTAGCAATACACTGAATTATGGGAAAGCCAACACTGCTATTCCTCCTGCTGTGTAATTTATTTGAGGTAAATAGAAGACTGTAGTCCCCAGGGTTATCAACCTCCATCATTAAAATACATTGACTGAAGAAAGCTTTGAACAAATAATCCCCTTCTTGCCCTAGGTTAGCCTTTACATCAGGTCACAGAAGAAACTGTAGAAAGGTCTCATAGTCCATGTATTTACAGGTGTTTAAGTCGCCACAAGTTTTCTGCCTTTAATGGCTTTGCATATGGCTACCAAAAATGGARAACTCTGTAAAATGCATCTAGAGGGAACTGCCAGTACAGTGAATATGGCAAAGGGCTGAGCTGCTTCTGCAGCAAYAATAACAGCCGTGCTTTATTTAAGATGTGTAAGTATTTGTTAGAGTCAAAAGAGGAAGCCATTCCCTTAAGAGGCAAACTGACCAGGTCACAGTTGGCCAAAGGTTGCAGGTACAGGGACACCCTGTCAAAAAGTTAGTTGGATTAGAACAGTGAGAAACCTGATTAAGAGAGACCTTAACAAATACGAAGTTTATCCAGGGGCAGTGAGGCTCTCCGTTTCTGAGTTCACACAGTCTTATTTTCCTGTTGAGCTGAGCACAAATGCATGTTGTTGGTAAAGCAAGGAAAAAAAAAAGAATAATTTTTGGAAGCAAACATGTGTCTGTTAGTTTGAATTTTCAAAACTGTTGACATAACCAAGAGACACAGCTTCCCTCCATATTGAGRTGACGTTACATTCTCTTGGCTACCTAGCTTTCCTTGTTTAATGTTCTAGATAGCTTTTCTGGTGTATATTCTCCAAAAATGGCAAAGACTTCAGAGTTCAAGTGATTTTAGTTCAGTGCTAGAGATGAAATTTTTGGAAAGAAGTGACTCTTTCAAACATGTTTTGTGGCTTGTGTTTCTTTCCTTGAAAAAAGCCTGTTCCTTATCTTTGAATTTTWTGTTTATTTGTGGAGGATTAACTTCTGCTTCAGCCACAGTGTTTAGAATATATTAATTTTTCCATTTTCCATTTTTGACATTTCTTTAACAATGAAATAGTTTCTTGGTGGTTAAAGATAGTGCACTAGCATGCTTGAATGGACTTGAYACCAGAATAAGTTTGGCTGTAGAAGGATTCCATCTTGATATTTTCTCATAAGACTTCATCTTTGATTTGGGAGTATAACCTCTGGAGGGGAGAGGTCAATTTTGTCTGCTGTATCCATTTAGTTTTTTCTTTTGCTCTGAGGGTGCCGCTTAGTTCCAGTTGTGACAATGGCTGATCTGATGTGGACACCTGCCCAGCAGGCAGCAGGCTGAGATAACGAATTCATTTCACACCGGCCACCAGGCAGCTGTTACATTACAATGTCTTTCAGTCATTGCTGGCAAAGGCAGGATTTGAACCAGTAGACTGAAAGTATTCTTGTATTCCAGAAACCAGTGAGGGCCGGCAGCTGTGCAAACTTCTCACATGCACATCTCCCAATGCATCTACCTCCTTGCCTGTGAAGTTTGTGCGTTTCCTGCCATGAGACTTCTCCAGTACACATCATGAATTAGTTAACCACATTTCTTACAAGTAACAGATTATTTGAAAGTCTGACTTTATCTAAAAGTCATATGTGTTTAAGGTATCTCATGGTGGGCATCTTGTGGAGGCAGCAGAARCTGCTTAATGTTCCTAGAGAAAACATTCAGTGTTTTCCTGCTGTCTGCAGGAACTACTGCAATCTTTCAGTGCCTAAGGCCCAAATCTCATTCCTCGATGATTCACCTTGTTATTGCAGATATTGAACAGCTACCCGGGTCTGCACTTCAGTCCTAACTGCTGGCTCCTTTGCTGTTTCATGTCTKTGCTATCCTGAAACAAATAGTGCTTGTCACAGGAGTAGAGGTTGTGTCCCACTGTACACGGTTTTTCTCTTACACACTGAATTCCTTTTCTTTTGTTTCTGGTCCCAGTGATTTGAATCTGAAGATAGGGAAGGTATGAGGTAGGAAGAAGTTTGAGAGGATGGGAAGGTGGCAGAAAGTAAAGCCTCTGCATTTACCTATATAAATATTTTATTCAAGTATCAGTCCATATGAAGTAGTTTTCTGACACTATTCTCAGGGCAGAAAATGGCCTGAATTATGACCATTAGAGTTTGAAATAGCTATGTAGGCTGAGGAAATAATTTTGAAAACTGCTCTTGCTGTCCCGTCTACTTCAAAAGAGTGTTTGGGGTAGTGTTGAGCAGTCCCCATCACAGAACTGTCACACTCAGTTGGTGTGATTGASCAGGTCTTGATGAGGAAAATTATCCTGGAGCCATAGTTACCCCCTAACCCTTCAAAGGGGTCGGGAGAGGATGCAGTGGTTGGAGAGCGAGAGACCTGCACTGCAACTGCCTGCTGCACATCAGTCTCTGTAGCTGAGTCAAAGTACTCATTTCTTTCTTTCTTTGTCTTCCCTTTTGAATGGTAGAAGAAATGTCACCTGTTTTCTTGTGGCTCTGTTACATGTAGGGAGCTGTTGTCATGATTCTTGGTATCTGAATTTCTTAAAAGCTGTTTCTACATAGCAGGCAGCTAATATTAGCTGAGCACTGGCTGGGATGAGATGAGCCAGGTTTTCTCTGCCTTGCTCCCAATGGTACAGTGCCCTTCAGTGAAAGAGGTAAAGGAGCAGTGTAAGGGTTAAACATCTGTTTGCTTGTTTTTTGAAGCACATGGCTGTTCCCTTCCAMATTACTGACACCTGAGATTATTAAGACTGAAGGAGTCATCAGTGGTCCAGTTTTTTTGTGCTAATGTGATGCCTTATTGCTCAATATATCTTTATGCAGACAAGAAAAATAAACTAGTTAGTTTGTTTCATTTTATAGTTTTAATTCRGCTTCACCTTTAAGGTACAGTACAATCAGCTCTGTCTATTCACTGAGGGGTGTTTATTTTTTTGTGAGAAAAGATAGAGCTTCTTCAGAAGCCTGAAAAAAGACAGACTTTTTTTTTAGAACTCCATTTTCACAAAGCTTTGGTTTTTGCAAAACCTTCGTTATAAACGAAATTGACCCAACAGTGGCCCTTTAAGAGACATGTTGGCAGTTAATCTGTTCTGGTTTACAGCATGTACATTGCTTTAAGAATGACTGGAATTCTAGGGGGAGGGAGAAGGGAAGCTTTGACCTCCATGTGCACATGTGCTGCTGCCAGCATCCCCTTGCTCGTCTCGTGATTAAATRGATAAATCAAAGAACACCAGCTTCTTTTCTGTTCTCTCTGCAGTGAGGCTCTTTTTATTTATTAGTAGCTAGCATGGCTGAAATACTTCCATGTGCAAGAGGGAARGTTTCTACCAATTATTTTGGTGTGGGAGCTAGTAGCCAGCCCRGTTGTTGGAGTTCTTAATTATATTGCTTTCCTTTTCACCAGATCTGAATGCATCAATAAGTTTGCCTCTGTTTTTGGGACCATGCCTCTCAAAGTGGTGGAGCATCGTGCTGACCCCGTCCTGTATAAAGATGACTTTCCTGAGAAACTGAAGAGCTTTCCCAATATCGGCAGCTTGTAAAAATTGAGACAAACCTGAGTGATGGAAATGACAGCTGAAAAGGTGCTRTGAGGAACATAAGGCCCTGAAGACAAAAACTGCTAGAGAACGGGTTGCATCTGAGGGAGATGGGAACTCATGTTGTCTTCCTTTTACATGCACAAAGTTGTAATTGCAATCTGAACAACTGCTTCTCTGTTGCTCACAGAGAATTGAATCTATTTGCAGATTCTCCCTAAAATGTCAAACACACACACTTTTGTCCAAAGGAGTCTATGAACCTGGAAGAATAAAACAGAATCTTGCTCTTTGTGGCCTAACTGGCATGACTGACCTCTTCTATCAACTGTGCTGCAGGCTCTCTGGTTAGTGAGCATCCATCCATTCAAAGCAACAGTCTGCAATGTAGAGCTATTCTCTTTTGGGAGGAGTTTACTTGCTTATGTGGCTGGTGGGCCTCTTGTCTTTTGAGCTTTAAYTGTTGTCTTAAGTAACTGTGTAACAAACCATTTCTTCTATAATGTGAGACAAATGTTTATTTTTTTACAACAAACATCACCAACAAAAAAATCTGTCGTCACCTAGTTTAAAGAACAAAGCATTTTGTGTGACTGAAATTATTTTGATGAGGATGGAGACACAGCAGCAGGGAGGACAGTCTTTCAAAGCTGAGACCTGCAGGACAGAACCACAGTTGCTGCACCTCCTGTGTACATCTCAGGTTTTCTGCTGCACTCATGCAAAAGACTCTGAGTCTATCAAAAGTATTTGTTATACAGACAATTATTTGTCCTTAGTCTTACATTTTTTATTTTCATTGTCAAACCAGCAATCAGGTTAGAGTTTTAAAATGTAGCCATCCATAGGGACGAAAGATGAAATAAGTTTTTCACATCTGAATCCTCTTCAACAAGCAGAGTACTAATTTATAAAACACCCATTCCCATTTCAAGCTTTAGTGTGCAGGCATATGTGTATGTATAAGACACTATTAATGCACACTTACAAATTCCTGTAAATTACCACTGTTGGAAAAACTGTTCTGTCCTTGCTTGTAATTTAAGGAACCCATTGCCACAGGCTGAAACATACAACTTTAGGAAGGCTTTTGGAGAAGATTTGCATTTCTTACGGGCACTTGGATTGTTCTCTCCATACTGAAATGACCCCGAATAAGAAAACTAAGTGCAACAAAATTRGAAATAAAGTTGCTGAGACTGTTACTCTTACCCTTGACTATTAAGGAGGGTTCTAAGTGGGACTGAGAAAGCAGTCTCTTTTCTAGCTCCACTGATAAAATGTTTGTAACTAGATAAGTCTGATTTCACTGTCCTTTTGGAACCTCTGTTGCTGCTGGTTACAGACACATCCTACCCGTTGGGCTATTTTTCTGTTAYGGTGCAAGCAACCTTATTCCTCAGATTTGCCAAGCCCCAAACAATAGGACAAGTGTTAGACATCACGGTTCACCCCCTCTCCTAAGCTGGATACGCAGCAATGACAGAAACCAAATGAAAGTCAGGCTAGAAACAGGAAACATCTGCTCCTATTTGTCTCACCCCCACTAAGACTTATCTTATTGCCCAATGCAGTGGATGTGSTGTGAATGAAAATCATATTGGAACAATAGCTCTGAGGGGATGCTTCACTTCATAACCTCCCTGGGATGTGCCTGTAAACTGTATCATCCGACTCTCTGGGAGCGTTTAATTACTAGTAAATGCTTTTTGCTGCGCTCTTTGTTTCATTCCTGAGTTACTATGGGAGAGGGTGTTGGAGAGCTAAAAGGATGGCTGTTGCAGTGACAACTGCTGTCTGCACAGTGGCTGTCACAAGAAAGAGGAAGGTTTGTTACTCATTATTTCTCCTTTGCAGCCTTTCATGTTCATGAACATGAGCCATCTTATTGAATCTTCCTGTGGATTTATGTCCTGGTGCTCAAGCATCAGGAGATACCAGCATATTTCCCTCGAGAAGTTTGCTTTAAAAATGTAGCTGTGACAGTGCAGTAGTCACTTCAGTTTTGGCTGTCCTTTTGGAGCTGATCTCAGCTTGGCAGGCCCTAGCAGTTTAACTGAGTTATTATATCTTCCTTACAGAGTTGTGAAGCTGCTGCAATTTCTTGATTCTTTCTYAAGAAGCCAGTAAAAAGTTGGTTTTACATAGAATCTTAAAAGACACGGAGGATTTGAAATAGTTGGTTGAATATTTCTAGATGTGGGCAGCTGAACCAGCCCTGCTAAGATGAGCTATAATTTCCAGTCAATAAAAGGTAACAGGTCCTTGTGTCTGCATCCAGGAGTATCTGAGTAGTTTCCACTTGCACAAAATGTCCAGTGACCCCTAACAATCATGTTTTATCTTCTTGCCTTTTATACTTGTTCTTATAGGGCTAGCTCATTTACAAACCCTTTTGTCTATGTTTCATGCCATGGAGAAAATTGGGCAATTGACCATAAAGAAAAATTGTAAAATTACCTACCTGCCCTCTGCATTTATGATTGTGATGTTCTTGATGCAAAATCTGTAAAGGTAAGATGTATGTCTGATTTGGAATGGGTTTGTTGTCAGTCTTTAAATTAAGATAATTTTAAACTTTTCATTGTATATATGATATCCAAAAGAGCTTAATAATTGTATATTAAAAGTTGAATCAAATAAGTGTTTATTGTATTTTACTTCTGGATTGGCACAAGGAAACATGAATTAAATCAGAAGGGAGAACTGCAGTGAAAAGCTRTTTACTACATAAATCTGTGTTAAACTTGAATATCCACAATGCACTTTGGAAAGATCTGTCAATATTTTGTCTTTCCCATAACTGGAGTTTGATGGTTGTCTTGAAAACAGAAGTTTGCTCTGCATGAATTCATCCCAGTCACCTTTTGGGGGAGAGTAGTTGTTACTCTAATTTTCTGCYAAGATTTGACAATAGCATTTATCTTGGAGAAATATGGAACAGATTTTTTTTTTTCTTTTTACTAAGAGATACAGCAGATGTTAAATAACTGTGCTTTTGAGAAGAAGGCCTTGGCTGGTCACTGAGATTCTGGAATCCGATGTGGTGGCAGCTCTTTGTTTCCAGGAGCGCYGCAGCACAGTCCCTGTGGATCGTGGCACAACAGGGCAGCGTGTGCATGGCACACCTTTTACTTGTGCATAGCAAGGGGGGATGTGCTGCAGGACCTGCCCTGCCAGTCGCAGTGAGTTTGAAGGATACATTTTTAGCATCACCGACTCTTCCTACAATGCATGAGTTTTCCCTTCCTCACGGCTCTACCACCCTATTACAGGATGTGAAAATTCAGGCCCTGAWACTCTGAATGTGACTCTCTCCTGCCATCTCCAGCTCTTGCTCTGGAACCTCCTGTCATTCATCATGTTTCTGCTGGTGTGGCTCAAATCTGCTTTACTCCAGCAGCAAGTTTATCCCTGTTAATGATCCRTTCATGGTCCATGGAGACACAGGTGTCAAAATAATTGTGATGTGGGATTTAAGTGGTGCTCAGTACTTCTGACTCCTTTTGCTTTTAGGCTGTATTGGTGAGCGTTGAGCATTCTAGAAAGACACTATACTGAGATACATGAAAATGGATTTASGTGGGCAATTTTAATGTTAAATATACCTCTGAGATTTGGTATGAATGCCCTCCATAATGAATGTCTGATACCTTGGGTACTTCTCACAGGTAGAGTATCTTTTGATTAGGAAAGATCTCAGAATGGTTAATGGGTACTGCACAAATCTTCTGTCCAGCCCTTTCACATGGAAGCTGCTCTCGCAACCAAAGCATGATACACAGAAGAAAAACTGAAACTGATGGTGCTGATGAGAAAATGGATATTAAATGCTCTAGCCAGAGATCAGACAAAGTGAGTATGATTTTTTTCATTCTTCTCTTTGAAACTTGTACTTAAATTTTACTATGACTACTGGAAAACATGTTCCTTTGTAAAATATCAACTATGTGTAGTTCTTGTAATCATGGATAGTCTCATCTGTGCACTTGAACCAAAAAAAATTCTGCAAACTTGTGTTTGATTAAATCTCTKGTAGAAAATTAGCATCCACTTGGTCCAGTCACTAACTTTAATCTGATCCTGAAGACTTGGAAGAGCAGAGCAAATCCTGGACAAGTATTTCAGCTATACTGCCTTTTCATTTCAGGTTTAAGGTTAAAAAAAAATTCTTTCAAAACCTGCCAGACAATGCCAAACAATACTGTGTAGGATCTGCAGATTATCCCATGAGCAGGTCATCACTTCAAACCTCTTGCTAACATTGGCATGTGACACAGATAGCATTTGCTTAGCAGAAAATTCAGATAGAACACTTTTGCTTTACTATTGAGTCATAAGTCCTTAAGTTGTATCYCCTGCTGTTGGGAGTGCCTGTAGGATGGTGTGAGTTCTTTTTATGAGGCCTGCCACTGCTGTATCTAAGTGCAAGAAATGGAGCTTCATGGTCCTTCTGCATGGGTAAGATCAGTCTCTTACCTGTAGCTGCAGATAACAAAACTGAGAGAGTCAGTTGGATACCCTTTGGACATGTGTGGGTAAAAACAGGATTGAACACCAGTATCACAAGCCTGGGATTTAGCAGAACAGCTACACTTTTGTCTGAATTGTTTGGCGTTTTGAGTTCCTCACTACCAAGGTAGAGGGCTGTTAGCCTTGACTTTAAGAATCAGCAGGCTTCAGCGGGCCCTGGCTTGAAGCCATTTAGAGACATTCCTGGTGCACTCTGTGTAATTTCAGCCTGATGGAAATGGCTGTAATGCAGTCCCACCTCTGCTGATCTTCAGGATTCCCCTGTCTGCAGCTTCTTGTGGTTGCTTTGAAAGTGAGTTATGTTTCCCATTAAAGGATAACAGGGACAATTGAGGCAATTAAGTGCACTGGCTTGGAGCTAGCAGCACGAAGGGAGTTTTCCGAGTGAAAACAGTGCTGCTCAAAGGTTTTTCCTGCAAGGTTGCCTGGTTGCTGTCTTCATTTGTCTGGAAAAGGATCCAGTAATTGTCCTTCAAATTTCCTTTAGTCATTCTAAATGCCTGTTTACTTGAATAAACAGGAAGTGCTTCTGCTCCAGACAAGCACGACAACTCTGTAGTGACTATGGCCAGAGATCAGTGCAACTTGGTTATGATTTTATTAGGTCTGTAAACTTGCGTCAGTGCTCAGTACCAGACTCCAYGCAGGGGGGATGTCGTGACTAAGAAAATACCAGCCTAATTATTAAGTCACATCTATTAGATTTTTAACCTGAATTTCAGTTGAAGGGTTCTGGATAAAGGTGAAATTTGGACCATTTGACCTATGAAGGTCTGAAGAACTTGGGATTTGCAGACCCACATGAGGTTTTCCATGTCTTTATGGGAAGTGGTCTCTGTTACACCCTGTGCTTTTAAGGATGAAGCTTATCTCTTCTAGCCTCTCCCCTCCATTCTGTGCTGTGATGGGAACCTGTAAAACTAAAAGCCAAAGCTTGGGACTGACTGAACAAAGTGCCACTTAGGGATATCCAGMTGCCCAATGTGAACATCCCATGCTCATCCAGGAGATAAACCCAYAATGCCTTGGAAAGATACCTGAGGTTTGCAAGCCAAAGGCTGTGTTCCCTCCCATATGACCGTGTGCATATGTGCCATACATTCAAGAAAACCCCTGTTTCTCACCTGCTTGACTGGCTGTTGGTAAACTTACAGGTCCTTCTTTTGTGAAACCTCTCTTGGAAAGTGAGGGCCAGGTCTCTGCTGGTTGCAGGGCRTAGTTAGCGCTGGGTGCCTTCAGCTGACGAGTGACTGGAACAATCACTCCTTTGCCACACTTCATACAAACAGGGAGGGGGAAAGGTTTGAAGGAGAAAGGACCGTAAAATGAGATCCAGGAATTCAGCAAGGCTGTTCAGCAAAAGGAGCAGATTGCTAACTCAGAGCATCTGTCTTTGCCCTGTGAGTAAATTATGAACTGAAAAGCAAGAGAAAGTGGAAGATCCTTTCACAAATAATAAACACTTGTTTGTCTCAGATTAAATGCAACACCTTTACATGTGGGCTCCAGCTGGCCATAAGTAGATGCACCTTGCATGGCTGTTACCTTCCTTGCCAAAGAGAAGATTATTGAACATCCATCTGTTTAAAGGTTAATAACCTGCTTTTAAAAAGAGGAAGAAAAAATGGCAAATCTATTTAGTTTACAGGAATAAAAAATTGTTTTTCATTTAAACTGTCCGAACTTTGCCCTGCCTCAAAGTCATATTCTCTAGCAGAGGAGGAACGCGTTAACCTGGACGCTGTAGCCACATCTCCCAGAGAGAAATTTTCCCATGTGTTTTAAATAACTCCTGTAACTCCACTAGGAAAATGAAGCTTCAAAAAAAAAGAAAAAAACCCCACATTTCTAATCTGGGCCCTGCCACTATCTAGTTTAGAGAGAGACTTTTTAGTTCTTTGGCATCATTCAGGCCAGGAGCAATTTGTGATGGAAACCCATACAAGCAGGATGTTACTGAAACTGGCTTTAGGCTCTCAACACTCTGAACTCTGCCAACATCTGGAGAATCTGGCTTTGAGTGTTTGGGGAGGGAAGGAATTTTTCTCCTACAAGTGAGAGGAATGGATAAGYTTGAAACAGCACCTGCATTATCCATTTCTTTGTGAGAGAGAAAACAGCCACGCACCATCTGAAGCAAGCTGATGCTCCCAGAAAACTGATGGAATGGCCAGAGGGACTCTGTGGGTCATGGTGGGTTGCTGGCAGCTGCTGGACACCTTCTCAGCTCTTCCTGAACAAGAAGAGCCTTTTTCCAGCCCACCCAGCATCTGGGTACAGGGTCTGGGTACAGGGCTCTTACTGGTCCCAGTGCTGGTGGGTCTGTGCAGTTCGAAGCAAACAGGTTTGCAGTTGAGTTTATTGATGGWGTGCTAGCAACAGAAAGGGCYCTCACMGAGCCCAGATWTCCCCACAGTGGGGCAAGAGCTGTRMCCTGGGAACTGGTGGGGCCGAGACAAACCCTTCCCTTTGTGTGGGGACAAGTGAAACCCAGAGGGCTCAGTCTGCCTCACAGCCCAGTGAGGAGCTTCTGGCTGCAGGCAGGCGCTTCTGGGAAACCCTGCAGAGCCACAGAGGAGGAGAGGGTGGGTGAGGCTTTGACATCTCTGCTAAAGTGGAGCTAGGAGGGGAGGGAGTGTGGGAATATGGGAAACACATACCAGCACACTGCCAGCCCCAGGTGTCTTCTCCTTAGGCTTCAGGAGACCTTGTGCTTGGTGCCCCGAGCATGACTGTGCTGTGTAAAAAGGATGGTACCACATCCTGGGGCGCTGGCTAGCTGAGAGTCCCCAGTTCTGTGTCCTCTTGCTGCCAAGTCAGCTTCTCCCCGTGTCAGCTGTGATTACCTGGAGCCTCACTAAGGGCTGCTTGAGAAGGGTTGGGAGACCTGCAGGATCCCTGGGAGGCTCAAGCTCTGCTGGAAGCAGTAATTCCTTGAGCAGTCATGAACAGAGAGCAGYCTGCTGTGTCCCCCGTGAGCCGGGTGCCCTGTGTGCTGGCTGTGTGGATGCCCAGCGCTGCCGGAGCAGGGAGGGCTCGCTGGGCAGCAGCCGGCTGGCAGGRCGCTCCTGTGCCCGCTGCTGGCTCCTCACCAGCGCTTTGTACGGGAGAGGCAGCAGCCCGTGAGCTGCCACCTGTTGTTAATCTACCCCGGCTAATCCATTCTGGACTGCGTCAGCAGTTCAAAAGGGCACTGTTAGTATTTTTTGCCAGCTTCAATTAACGTGAGATTTTGGAGGCCCCTCTGATCACATTTCATCTGTCATGAGTCAGGAACAAACCAGCCAGATTGCAGTTGAGAGGAGAGAAGAGAAGGAGTTTATTGCAAACCAAAACAACAACAACAGTGTTTGCGCCCCCTTGGCCAGGGTGGTTGGGAAGCAGGGACCTTCCCAGTGATGCCACTCCTTTCAAAACCTGGAAAAATAAAAATTGGTGACTGGGAATTACCAACCTCCACCTCCCAAAAAAGAAAAAAAAAATCTGCAAGTGCAATAACTTACTTCAAAAAAAGTTAAAAAGAATCAAGCTGCAAGACTGTTTGTTCTTTTTTAATATTCCACTGTAATGAACTGGTAATACATGGTTGCATAGGCAATAACATTGCATGGCACAAACCTCACATGGCAACATTTTTAATGATTTTTTTTATTCTTTTTTTCCTGAACTTTTAAAAAACTTTTTTTATTTTTTTATATGTTCTACCCCAGGCCGTTAAGCTAAAGAGAAAAAAAAAAAAAAAAAAAGGTAGCGTTTATACAAGGTTACAATATTTTACAACAAAAAAACCAATAATATTGATTGAGGTTTGTTTTCTTTCTTTCGCCCAGTCTCTCTTTCAAACACTGCACACCTAAACCGATATATTATTATACATTGAAAACTGTCCTTCAAAATCAGTAGTATAAAAGTCCTAGCTCTACCTACCTACCTAGCTATGTGGGGGGAGTGGGGAACCATGTTACCAGCAAAGAGTTAAGGGGGCGTAAGGCCGCTCCCTCGCRTCCTCCCAGCTCCCTTTGGGAAGAAGCAAAGGGCTGAATGACTTTCCATCCGATTCCACCCCCTTCCCATTTGGGTTTAATTTCTGCCTCGGTCTGTTTGCTTTYTGCTGTGTCAGTCAGAGCAGCAAAATAAACATGGGGCTCTGCCTCTGCTTGATTATTTTTCAATCCTTTTCCAAGAAACTACCTTTTTGCCTTTGTTTGTTTGGAGAGTGTTTTACAACGTGCTGCCYGGTCTGAAGTGTACTCTGGGAATCAGGGAAATGCGCCTCCCACCCGAAAACACCTCCACTGCAGGAGGAAACCAGCAGGCAGCCCTGCTGGGCAGCACACGGGATACACCTGGCYCTGCTTTGTGCTGCGTGCCCACGGCTGTTGGGGCAGGTGGAGCCACGTGTGCTGCAGCTCTGTGACCTCACGTGTGACACACCRTCACTGCGTGTGGCCCATGCTCACKGCTCAGGCCAGGYGTGRTCCAGCAAGSACACKTGATGTGCCAGGGATGTGTGTTCCGGCAGGGRTGGACACCCACTCACACTGCCATGGCTTTGGGGAGAAGGAGCCTGGTTCTCTTTGTGTTCTGCTGTCTCTGTCTTCCTCCCTGCAGGCTCTACCTGGGTACGAGCTGGGGCAGTGGCACCTGAACTGGGCAGYGTATTCTGGAGGAGGCAGCGGAGCCGGGCTGGAGAGCCTGCTGGGAGCGCAGGTGGGTGGCACTGCTGGCAGCAGGGGACGTGCCAGGGGGCTGACCTGGCCCCTCTCCAGGAGCTTGTTGAGGCACAGCAGCCCTTAGAGTCTGGACCCTGCAGGGCCCAGCAAGCCCGAGCCTGGTTCCCCACTGGTTTGCAATTGCTACCAAAGCACTAACTCCTGCTTGTAGGCAAGAAGCGCCTCCGAGTGCTTGGCAGTGAGTGATACCCAACCTCTTTTATGCCAGTGCCAGGAACCTGTGCTGCTCTTGTTTTTTGCATCCTCCTGGTCTCAAAGCTCTGGGACATCTCTAGGGGTTCCCAACCATGGGTAACATAAGGCAGCCCCCTTGTAGGGTACCTGCTGCATAGCCAGGGCCAGGAACTGCCTGGGAGAAATGTTTTCTACCTTCATGAGGCTGGAGAGAGCAGATGGATGAGCCCAGCTAGCACAGAAAATGCCACCATGGGACGGCTGATGCTTGTGAGACATTTTGGTGGTGACTGGGGACAAAGCTTGCAGCTTTGAAGGCAAGTCCAAGCCAGGGAATTGTGATTCAATATATAGACAGGAGTAAAATACTAAATAAGAAATAAATAGAGAAGAAAGTCATAAATAGAGTTGAAAGGTATTAAAATAACAACAATAATAATTAAAAAAGGTATCATTGTGGTAATTTGAGATTGCAAGAACAGCACTGACCCTGTGACCCTTAAGAAATGCAGTAGCTGCAGGCTGGCTAGATAAAGATACATATATATATATAAATAAATGGATATATATATGTATTTATGTAATTTTCATGTTAATTTAACAGCTAGTTTTAAAAACCTTCTTAAATTAATTGTAAAAATGTGTGTAAGTACAGATGCATGTAGCTTAACAACTACCAGAACAAYTGTTTTTGGGGATTTGGGAGGGGCACCCCTTCCAGCATTAACGACAAGTGTGGGTGCAAGGGACGGTGCCAGAATGGCAGCAGCACCCCGAGAGGCGAGGCAGAGCCTGGCGAGCAGTGGGGCTGCCTGCAACTGGAGAGGGGAAGGGAGCCCTGGGGAATGGGGGTCCAGGGAACAACATTCCCCCTCACCTCATGGTGTTTGCAGCAGGCTGAGGGCTGGGCATGCACAGTGCTGTTTAAATCAGACTCAGTCCAACATGTGCTTTGCACATGAATTTTAAGGTGAGGGAAAGTGGGGGCCAAGCTGCTCTAAATGCCAAGTCTGCTGCCAGAAGATTCTCCTCTCTCTCTAACAAGACAGGGATACAGCACTTAATCCTCTGGGCTGTTAAACAGCTCAGATGAAATACTGGCCCTGTGGAAGTCTGTGAGGAAAAGCTACCCTTTAWCTTCTGTAGAGAATGCAGCGAAGCTCTTGAATAGCTGCAGCCCTCCAGTGGAGCTGCCTTCTGAACCTGCAGGCTAAGCAAGACCTGTCCCCCTTTGTCTCTCCGCCCCACTGCCCTCTCCTCAGCTCTGCTTGTTGCTAATTTGCCTTGTGAGCAATGGTACTGGGCTGTTCAGGCAGCATCCCTCCACAGATTGCCTGCTGACAGGGAGAAGCATCAAGCTCCTTGGTGTACCTGGGAAAATGCTCTCAATGCTGTGCTCAGCTGCCTGCACAAAATCTGATGGACAAATTGCCTCCTGTCACCAGTCTCTGGGTGGCTGGGGATCTCAGTGGCTTCTGGGGTACACAGTGAGGTTGTTCCTGCCTCCAACAGGTCAGCATGATCCTGTCTGGTTCAGTGATCAGCATCCCTTTCAGCATCTAAGCCACCATGCCCGAGGMCTCAGCTGAATGTTTAGACTGGGATAGAAATCCTGGCTGCTTGTGATGGGAGAGGCCCTGGTTATGCAGATGATGTGGTGAAATGTGTGCTGGCTCCCGTGCATAGCAGGGAAGGCATCTCAGCATTTCTGAGGAGCAAAAAGAAACAGCACCATTGGTGTTTTCTTATTGCAGTAAATATATTACTTTTGACCTAGCAATGTGTATCTTTTAGGTAGTGTATGACAGTCGAGACACTATGGAAATACCTTCATTAACGTGAAGCCTGACATTTGGTTCTAGCTTACTTGGAACCTTTTCCAAGATATTTGGAACCTTTAGATATTCCTGCACCTTAGACTACAAGATCCCCTTACAATGAGTAGGAGGATAGAGGGCAGGGTGACAAACCAGTTTTTATGGGAATAATATCCTGTAGTTCCCTTTCAAATCTTGGAGGTGTCTGCCCCAGCTCAAGCCCAGCTTGCATTGCCACCGGTGTGTGGGTAATGGTGCTAAGCTGACTTTCAGCTTCTCCTTGGTCATATTTAAGTGGGATAAAAGGTTGCTCCAGAATTATTCCTAACATTGTGATCATTGAAAAACTTGTAAAAGGTTTAGCCTTGCAAAGGAGACCTCACTTGACAGCTCTGAGCAGGTGGGAGCACTGGGAGGGAAAAGCAGACAGGCACCTTGGCTCAGACAAACCAAGGAAGTTCTAGTCTCTCCTACTTCCTCTGCAAAGTGAAGAGGATCTGAGGTGGCTGGAGATGGGGCAGCATCATCTCATCCTCCCTTGAGCCCTGTGCTACCCCCATGCAGAGATGCCCACAGCCTTGTGTTCAACAGGGCACTGTGGTGGAGGGCTGAGGGAGAGCCTGTCATTGCATGTCTGACCCCAGCATGAGGTGTATGAGGAATTTGGTGGCCTTGTGCCACTGTGGCTGTGTGCTAGTGCTTGAGCTCTTTATAAGAGCAGTCTTTCTGGGGACTCAGGGATTTACACAGCAATTCCCTGCCAGAGCTGCTGTCTCTAAACTGAGATTAGTAATTCCTGATCCAGTGAAAGCCAGAGGAGACCTTTTCCTGTATCACCACACTTGAGGGCCTCAACACAGACCATGAGCAGGGAAAGCAAAGCCCAGGCACTCCCTGGAGCAGTGAGCCATACTGGGAACTTTTGTCTGCTGGACTGGACCTCCATCTGGGTCACCAGAGCTCTGACAGACTCTCAGTGTGATAACTCTGTGTCGTGTTGGGTAGAGGGGCATCCCCTTCATAGGCCTCTACAACTCTGTGCTTCATCTCAGGCTACAAGATGGAGAGGGAGCAGGATAAAAGGAGGTGGGCTMATGTTGCCTTTTTTTCTAGTTTCAGTTATCTTCCCAGCCCAGCTCCCTGCTCAGCTGTGGGAAGTGGAAACTCCTGYTAAAATGATGTGAGCAGTGTGAGAAATGTCTCTTTGCTGGTGCCAGAGTCCCTATCCAGCCCCCTGCCAGGGCAGAATGTGTGAGTGGGGACACGTAGTGGGATGGGAGAAGCTGCTGAAAGGCCAGTGGGCTCTTGCTCTTTGGAAAGGCAGATCTGRTGCCAGAAAAAATAGCGGGAAGAAAAAATGCCTAGGTTATTGGGGAGGTGGCAGTGAGAAGGGACGCATCCCATCCCAGATCTTGATGGAAGAGGCGCTGCTCCACAGCCTCCCTCTCCCTGCCCGATCCCAGGAAGCCGGGAGCTGCCACGTTCACGCTGGAAACACTCCACTTACGTTAACATATGTAYTTTATACGCCTAGGGTAGCTAAAAGTGCTGCATTCAGATCCCCGAGGAGGCAACTGCTGTCTGGAGTCCAAGCGGATGGATTGATGGGGCTGTTCCCCGTGCTCTCTCCGTGTGTGGCGGGCCCCGGGCTGCAGCCCTGTCATGTGGCCCAGGAGATGGCGGCGCTGTGCTCCTTGGCTTTCATCCTCAGGGCAGCGATGCTGGAGCTCTTGCGGTCCGGCTCGCTGTTGAGCTCGTAGCCATTGAGGCCGGGGCTCATGCCGGCTGTGCCGAACAGGCCGCCCATGTGAGTCTGTCCCACGTGGCTGCCGGGCCCCGACACSCCGAGGAACTCGGAGACGCCGCCGGCCGCGTGGGGGTGGCCATGGGGGGACATGCAGGACGGCACCGTGTCGCAGGGCACGACGCAGGCGGGCACGGGGGAGGCGGCTCCGTTGTTGCCGATCCAGGAGGGGTTCTGGATCTGGGGGTGGGAAAAGAAGCGTCAGGGCTGCCCCGTGCGGGAGATGTCGGGCAGCTGGCATGGGGAATGGAGTGTGCACAGCCCTGCCTAGTGGAGGGGCACCCTCTGAGACGGGCATGGAATGTGCTGGCTCCCTCAGCCCTGCCTCGGCCAGCAGAGCCACTCCAAAACCTGTGTGCCAGCCTGGACAGGGGCAGGGAGTGCAGCAGGGTAACTCACAGGGAGCAGGATTGTGCTTCTCCTCTGCCACAGCATCTGTTTATCTGTTCCTCTCCCAGACACTTCTCTTATTTTCTTTTGTACCATGAGCACTTTTCTCAGCACAGGAAACTTTAATGTCATCCATGGTGTTTCTAYAGGAAACCCATTACGGAGGGAACAGGCAGAAAGGGCTGCTGATCCACCATCCTGCTCCACTCARGGCAGCTTTGCCTAGGCAAGGGCAATTTTGTACCACTCCCCCAGCAGTGCCCATCAAGGCAGCATCACCCACCCTGCTGCAGAGCTGAGCCCTGCAGGGCCACCTTGAGTGACCATCTGGGATCCTGCGGTGGCACTCATAAAATGACATTGCAGAAGAAGAGAGAAGGGCTCAGTATTTGCCAGTGGGAATAGGTGTGCTGCAGCAGGGGCACACAGGCATGCAGGATAAAAGCAGGGAGGAGGCGAGCAGCTGGCTGGGGCAGGAGAGCAAAGGGCCCTTCGTGCCACTGCCCCTTTGCMCGGCTCGCCCTTGGGCCCTCTCTGATCTCTTACCTCCTACAAACTGCTTTTCAAATTTTTGATCTCCTCTGCTGGTAGAGGAGGGCAGTATGGAGGGAGAGAACAGGGTAAGTTACAAAGGCAAGAGAAGGACATGATGAAAAGGCTGCTGAGAGAGTTCTCTGCTTGAAAAGCTGCTTTGGCATCTCAGCTGTTTCAAAAGGGCTTCTTGTTCAGTTTGGGGGAGATGCCAAGCAGGAGAGAGGTCAAATGCTCCCAGCTTGGCTGCAGGGTAGCATTGGTACAACACTGGCTGGGGAGGCAGCTGCCAGACAGGGTGTCAGGGAGGGAGGACTTGCAGCAGATCTGTGAGGACAGTCAGGTTCAGAGCATCATGCCTGTAGAACTGCACCCTYGAGCAGATTCTGGGTGGTGGGAAGAGGAGTGCAGGATGGAGGGAGTGCTTTCCGGGGCACAGCCTAGCCCTGGAGCTAGCAAACCCCAGTCTGCCTGGCATCRTCTGAGGTGTTGTGAAACTGGGGCAGGCCCAGTGTTTAGGAGGCTGTTGTGGTGACAGGTTTTCCAAGACAGGAAGCTAAGGCAGACCTGCTTCCATGGCCAGGGCAAGAACAGTTTCGACAGAACCAAGAAGCAGCCCTGGGTACCCCAACGAGGCTGCTCCCTGCCTTCCTTTGGAGCATAAAYCTACAACTCCCTTGGGAAGCATCCCCAAATGTCACCAAGTGTGCTCTGGGTACCACAGCCCATCACTGGGAGATTTTAGGGGAAAAATGCTTTTATCCAACCACCATGTCCAAGGGGCATGGAAACCAGACATGGTAACAGAAAGCCTCCCTGGGAACTGCTATTCTTTAGGCATGAATTAGCCTTGGATCTTTTGCAACGAGCCCCGGTGTGCTTGCAGCCTTGCCTGAGGGCGCTGGATGTACCTGGGAACTGAGGCATCACTTGGGGAGGAGCGGGACGGGGGACAGCGTGTCCAGGAGCACCGGGCTCAGGCGGGGGAATGCACTCACCTGGGCGTAGTTCTCAGCTCGGGTGAGCAGAGGCAGCTCGTAGGCGGTGGAGAAGTGGGTCCGGACCTGCTGCATCTGACCGAACCGCTCCCGCTTGCGCCACTTGGCTCGCCGGTTCTGAAACCACACCTGGGGAGAGGCGACAGCGGGGCTGTGAGCGAGGGCAGCCTGGCAGTGGCTGGTAGCCCGGCACCCTGAGGAGCCCACCAGAGGGCAGGGTCTCGCCGGGTGGGTGGCTTTGTGCGGCACGGAGATGGGCACTGCTCTGCWGGGGAGAGAGAGCCCTTCCCTGCTTCTCTGGGGTGTTTGGGTGCACCCATCTTCTGGTGCACCGCCCCTTTGGGGACATTCACAGCTCTTMCCTGCTCATTCTCTGCCTCCCACAGCCTGACTTGGCCTGGGACAGCCCATCTTCCTCTCATGTCTATATCTGTGTTACCCAGGCTCAGCCCGCAGTTCTCCTGCTGCCAGCCAGTCTCGGGTGAGAAGTGTGAATGCATCTGCGTGTGCTGCTGCCAGGCTGAAAGCAGCAGTGATGGGGCTTTCCCCAAGCCRGATCCTGGCCAAGATGATGCCATTGACTGCAGCTTGCATTTCTCACCAAATTCTCTCACTTTTCTTAACCACAACAAAAAAATGGAAAGCCTAACACCCCTTCCCTCCTTGACTGCAGGAAAGGACAGGTGCCCTTCTACAGCATCCTTTGCTTTACACTGAGTTTTCTTTGTGAGGTTTGCAAGTCTTTGCTTYACGGTGCTGCTCAGATCCCTTCAAGGCAAAAACCAAAACTCTGTTTCTGCTCTTATTTTTACTGGCTTGACATCAGTGTGGATTATTGCACTGTTGTCAGCACCATTGCTCCTGATTTGCATCAGCCTGAGAGAGATCAGAGCCTGGCCCAGTGTCTTCAAAGCCTCTTGAAGCTCGTGACTCAGGGAAACACATCAATCAAGAGCTGCTTTGAAGGCACTGAGAGATGAGGGCGATCACCAGGGGCTGGGTTGTGCAGGTCACGCCAGTGCATGAAAGGAGCAGTCCTAGAGCCTCTCGGCTCTGCTTYGAGTTTTACACGGTGACTCGCTGCTGGGGCCAGAGGGAGTATCGCTGACAAACAGCTTGGCCCTTCCCTCTCCTGACCGAGGGGCAGATTCACGGCTTGCCAGGCACCTGGGGAAAGCAGACTCCAGGTAGGGCGCTCATGTCTTTGGAGCATAGCAGGACAAGGCAGGTGACTGGCACAGGGTGGGACGGCAGGACAGCTTTTACAGGGGCAGGAGAGCTGTGGCACCTGCAGCCTGGGTCAGTGCAGCTAGATGCTGCTGTGGGGAGGGATRCAGGGCTGGGTTTCTGGTCTGAGCTGACCTTGCTTGTGCAGGGAGAGCTGTTTTGGGCTCTCCCTCTTGAGTTTCCACCATCCACCATATGGGCAGCCTCGTGCTGGTCTCTCACAGCCAGGCCTGTGCTGTGAGTAGGGAGCTGAGGRTCTGGCCATGCTCTGTGCTCTGCTTGGGGCAGGGAGCTGATGATGCAGCTGCCAGCCATGTCYTCCCCATGTGGGCTGTGGATAATGCGGGGTTTAGTGCTGTGCCCCACAGCCTGGCAATGCCACTGGCATGGGCCATCTGCAAGTTGGCCAGAGTGGCCATACTCAAAGCAGCAGCCTGCTATCCACCCCCTACCCCAAATTAAAAAACCTATKAGTGTTTTCAGTAGGTGCAGAAAGCATTAGCAGAAACATCCTAACACTATCCCAGCTGAGCGCATGCTGCACATGCAGAGCGTCCTACTGGAGCAGGTTTGGTGCCTCAGGCATCTGTCTGTTTTTCTTCTACCTCTCCTTGGCACAGCCACTCCAGCCCAGCTGCAGGCCAGTCCCAGGGCTGGCCTGGATCACGGCGCTTTGATCTGCAGATTCAAAGTTAGCGGTGGTGACCCGRTTCCTCCTCAGGCAGAGGAGGCCCYGCTGTGCACAGAGGGTGGAGAACAGGTAGGGAGCAGAGTGCTGGCTGTGCAGGAGGCTGGGATGAACATGTGCCAGGCATACACAGCCATTCCATGTGTGGTGAAGGCACTGGTGCCTCACCCACCCGAGCATCCCACCTGGGAGCAGGGCAGCTGAGTCCCGGCCCCCACGGCGGAGTGTGGCTCTGCAGGGTGACCTCTGGAGCTGTCAGTGCCCCTGGCTTTCCAGGACAGCACAACAGCTGCCTTGACAGAGCAGAGYGAGGTCTCAGCCTCTGTTCTAACACATTTATGCATTGGACTGCACAGAGCAAAGTGGTTTAAAGTGGCAGTTCCTGAATTGCCACGTGGCCAGTGGGCTGGGAGGATGTGGCAAGTCAGGCTGAAGAGAAAGAGTGTCTTCAGTGCAAGTGTTGGTGTCACAGGCACCAGAGACACTCTGAGAGCTAGCAGTGAGCCATGGCTCCAAAACACTTGTGGCAAGGTTTGGACTGCTTTTTAAAGTTCCTCCTTCTCCTCTGGTCCAAATCCTTATAGGCTGCTGGGTATCCTGCAGTTGGGTTTCTCCAGACCTCCACAGTGCTCCGGGGAAAACAAGACAGGCATGGCAATGTATAATGTGAAAATGTCAGCAAAAACCCCCAACAAATCCTCAGTATTTCCACAGTCTTAGAAGACACCTGCTTTTAAAAAGCAAATCTAAACCCAAACAGAAGGTTTGCAAGTCCTTGCAAGGACTCCAAACAGAAGCCCATTTTCCTTTCATGCCTGTCACTCCTTGTCAAGAGCGGCTGTTGTGGGATGGGGATGTGACAGGGGAGGTTGCAGTGGCTAGTGCAGCATGTCCTCTGGGGTTGGGATGGGCTACTGTGTGCAGGGGCCAGCAGTCACTGTGGGCTGACTCTCAGTGTTAACAAATAGAGTGGGAGTGTACAGTGATGTCCAGTATCTGACTCCTGCAGACAATGCTTTGGTAAGCCCTGGTGTACCAAATCAGCCCTGTAAAAACCTACAGAACAGAGAATGTTTCATGTCTCCATAAACATTCAGCCATATGCTGGTACCTAAATCCATATGCATACACAGCTGATGTGCTCTTGGGGGCGGAGAGGCCAGCAGTGGCCTGAGATGAAGAAAGGAGGCTCCTGCTCCYTCTCTAGTTTCCTCTACCCTAGCACCCAGCAGGCACTGCCAGTCTGCCCCTGCCACTGCAGGTGGATGGGATTGTTTGGGACCTCACCCAGGCCACTCTGACTGGGTCTGGCTAGTTGTGGGCTGCATTGCTGATTTGTCCTTCCTCCACGTTAAAGGTGCTTTGCCCTCTTTCCTATAGGCTGACCTGTGCACATGTGTGGTGTGGGCTGGTGGCAGCTGTGGGGTTGTGCTGTGGGGTTGTGCTCACGCCCTGTGCTCAACACCCCTCACTGCATCATTGCCCTGGTGCAGGTAAGAGCTGCCCACCACGTTCAAATCTCATGCTTTTGCTGTCTCCTGGCAGCCTCACAGCACCCATTCTCCCCACTGCTGTCCTCTGTCCCTGCTACCYTCCTCCCTCTGCTCAGCCTCCATCTGTCTGTGTTCAGGACCCCATCCCTCTGCGAAAGGCCAGGCCATCTTCCCCTCTTGCCAGAGATGGYCACCAGCCCTTTGCTTTTCAGACTGCAAGAACAGAGCCAGAATTCATCCTTGAGTGCTGAAACTGGACACCATTTTATCAGTGGCCTGGAATGGGAAATTGGAGCCTGGGATGAGAGAACTGAATAACTCGAGCTTGTTTTCATTTCATGTTTAATTTCCTGCAGGCTTAGCTCAGTCTTTCCGCTCCTTCCACCAGCCTCCCAGGGTTTTATGGGGGAAAAGGGATCAAGATATATTACTTCTTGCTTTGCTTTGCTTTTTTTCTTTTCTTTTTTTTTTCCGAGGCGGTGATTTTGCTACAGTGGAGTTTGACATTTCCCTCTCGTTTCAAGCCCCTGCCGCATCACAGGGTCACCGCCAAAAACGTTTCATTAATGGTCCCAACAATCATAAGGCTGGCTCTGAGGGGGGCTGGCCAAGGGGTGATATTGCCTGGCTGCAAAGCCWCCTTCCAGCCCCATCCCTTTCTCCTCTGCCACAGAGCAGTCCAGGAGRCAGAGATACTGATAACCCAAGAGAGATAAGCAGCCCGGGCCAGGCTGGCGTGGGCTGGGTGTGTTCCTGTGTGTTTCTATGCAAGGGGAAGGAATCATGTGTGAATACACGTGTCTACCTTGTTTTCCTAGTGCTGCTGCCCCAGACATCTGCTGCAGACCTGGATGGGCTGGAAGAAGCTCAAGCAGTTGCTGATACCAAGCAGAAGCTCTTTCTGGGGCTCTGCAGCCTCAGACATGGAAGAGAAGAAAGGAATGGGATGCAGGTGTTGTGCCTACATGAACACAGCAGGTCCTGTGCACCCTTGTAGGTTTGTGGCTCAGCCTGAGCAGCCTCTCCCTGGCTTCCACTTTGGAAAACAGGGATGTGCAGTATTTTAATAGTACATGGAAACAGGGGCAAGGTTGTGGGAGGTAGACAGGAAAACGTTGCATTGCATCGCAGGGGGAATTCACTTAGACACTGTCAGACACCAGAACAGATGGCCGGAAAGTGAGGCAGGCAGGGAAACAGAGCAGGAGAGGGGCCAGGCCATGGAATGCCACTGCTTCACAGGCAGYGTGGTGCACCCCACGCATGCTGCTGGCACGGGCTCCTCTCCAGCACTGACAGCTCCGGCAGCTATTTCACTAATGAAGCGTGAGCTTGGGAAAGGCATGGAAAAATCAGAGCTGCCACTTGCCTGTCTGGGCTTTGCATCTGCTGCTGCCTGCAGCACAGCTGGTTATGCTCCCCGGGAAGCCAAGCCTGGCCAGAGGGGATGACCTCCAGCCAAAAGCTGGCTCAGCTGTGGGAGGGAGCATCACACCTTCAACCTGCTGGGTGCCTCACCTTTCTGCCACCTTGTTTTGCTTAGTTCAGCCTTGCAGGCAGCTGAAGCTGACCTCCAAGAAATTATTCCGGGGCAGGATTATTCCCAAGATGACCATATTTTTCTTTGGAGAGGCACTACTGAGCTTCCCTCAAAGCCCAAACACSCCACAGCAGCCAGAGCCTCTCGCTGCGTGGCAGAGGGTGTCTGAGTCCCTATTTGGCTTGCAGGGGGAAAGTAGTGAGTGGCTTATGGCTAATTTGTGATTTCCACCCTCTAGCCCTYGGTTCTTGGTCCTTGAGGCAGGTGTTTGCTTGGCCATCAGTCTGCTGAGCTGCAGCCCCATGCCCGTGAGCAAATGGCCCTTGGTGCCACAATGCACAGAGCAGAGCTGCCCATGTGATGGACCAAAGTCAAGCCTAGAGAAGCTATAGCACAACCCCGAGCTGGAGACAGCACTAGGGTGATTCATAAGGCTTTGGCTCCTCTCTCACGGGAAGCACCTTGTGCCATCAGCAGAAGAGCCCTGTGCCACCTCAGGCTGCACCTCCCTGCCTCCCGGGGGCTGCCTACCRTGCCGGGCTGAGCAGCTCACCAGCCAGGGGACACATATGAGACACCCAGCACCTGGGGTGTGCCTGAGCCTGCCAGGCCAGCTCCCCCTGCACTGGGCACAAGGCTGCTGCTTCTCACTCTCCACTGGCAGCAGTCTGCTCCCGACAGCACGGCAGCCCTGCATCCGGAGGTGGTGGCCTGGTGCCAGCCCGGGGAGAACTGCAATACAAGTGCTTACCCTTTTCACCGTGGGTGAGCAGCCAGGCCACTCAGACAAATCCTTCATCAGCTCTGTCACACGAGCCCTGTCATCACTGTCCCAAGGGTGAGGTGTGCCCTGGCAGTCACAAGGGCAGGGAGGCTGCTCTGGGCTGCTGGTGCACTTATTCCACAGCAAGATAGAGCCCCTCTTTGCAGATATCCTCCTGGCTGCCAGGGGATAGCTCCTGCCCTCGGCTGAAGTGTCAGCCAGTGATAAAGCAGGGAAAAATCCCAAGATGAAGGGTCATATGTAAGGAACCTGTAGATTGCACTKGCCTCGCCTGCCCTGGCTCTGAGCACCATCCCTGCACTGGCTGGGGCAGCACAGTAGCTGCACAGGCTGGCTCAGGAGTGAGCAGGAGGAGCTTGCCACCCTCCAGCACCTCATTCTCATTCCTGAGCACAAGGAATTTCATGCACTGTGCAGTGAGTAACCCGATGCTATGTGTGGCCTCCCAGGAGACCCCATTAGCACTTGTGGTGTGTTCCTGGGAAATCTAGAGCTGCATCCAGTGGCACAAGTAAAGAGCTGACATTTGTAGCACTGCCTTGCCCTGCCCTGCCCTGCCTGCCGTGTTCAGCGTGCTACACGTGGGACCAGTGGGAATCACACTGAAACACAGCYATGGCCAGCCTGAAGAGAAACAGCTGTGGGGAGGAAGAGCACACCGGTCCTGCCAACCAATTTAGGCAAGCAGACAAGAAAAACCCTGCTTCTGGTTGAATATATAAAATAAAATGGACTTGAACATGGGTATAGGCCTGTTCTTTGAGTTGTTTGCAACAACCCCTTGGAAAGGTTAAAGCAGAGGGTAATCCGGGCTGCCTGGGAGCTGGGAATATTCCTGATATAAGAGATAGAATCAGGTGTCTCCACRGGCCAATTGTTGCTGATGCTAATGYARGTTRTGGGGGTGGTGAGCTGACAAATGCCTGCAGACGGAAGTTACAGGATTAGCTGTGCTGGAGAAGGAGCTGGCTACCAAGGTGTGAACTTTGGAGCACTSCTCCATGCAGGATGCTCCTTTGTGCCCATACTTCTGAACCTTTCTGTTTAACCTTGACTCAGAGGAGAGACCAGTAGTCAGAGAATCATTCCCTCCTCTGATGTGGATTTTGGCTCTGCTGGCTCCCCAGGTTAGTTCATGGCAGCTGTGTGGGTGGAGGTGATTGAGTGTGGGTTTTTGTCTGTCCTGCTCCTCCCGAGGTGCTGGCTGCACCTTTTGCCTCCAGATCTGCAGCTTTCACGCAGGCAGGTGTGAAAGAGCTTTTTCTCTTGTATCAGCTGGTGGAAAAGCTTGCTGCCACTCAAGGCTAATGAGCCTGTGTCCCCTGCAATTCTCTTGAGGAGAGCAGGGTTTGTGYAATCTTTGTTCAGGGTGCTGGTGAGGCTTGGCTGCCTGCTGTCCCGTTAGCTCAGGGACAAGAGGTGTCCCTGGGAATGCTGAAATGAGGGACACCAGACCAAATACAGGGGCTGGCAGTGTGTCAGACATGGCTGTACCTCTGTCCTTTCCCTGTGCCACAGGCTCTGAGCGTGGTGGGACTGCACGGCAGCTCGGAGAGGTTTTGCAGCTCACCCACCCCGCACCCAGCCCCAGCCTTCTCCCCGTACCTGTACACGAGCCTCGGTGAGGTCTGTCCTCATGGCTAGCTGCTCCCTGGCGTAGACATCGGGATAGTGGGTCTTCTGGAAGACYTTCTCCAGCTCCTCCAGCTGGTAACTGGTGAAGGTGGTGCGGTTCCTGCGCTTTTTGCCCTTGTTGCTCTCCGAGTCAGCCTTGTCCATGGGGCTGGGCAGGTCTGTGCTCGCCCTGTCCTGGGGCCCTTTCACCCCGGCCTCCTTCACGCTGAGGTAGCTGCTGTCCATTGCTGAAGGGTCGGAGCTGGGCTGCAAGTCAGGCTCTCCCAGACTGCTTTCCTTACCTGTTTGGGTGGGAGGAAGGGAAGGGAGGGCAGGTTTGACCAGGGGAAGGGGACAGGGAGAGAGAGAAGGAAACAGATGTAAATCTTTTGACCAATTTTTGGGGCAAGCTCTCTCAGCTCCTCCTCCCTCTCAGAGACCCAGGTGGAAGGATGAACCTTGCACATTCACGTGCATGCACCCCAACAAGACCCTTCCTCAACTTCCCAACACCCACATCAGGACTAAACATCATGRAGCACTACATTCCTTGGTCCTGCCACTGCTCTGCATGGCGGGCTGTCCCCAGGACAGAAAAAGGGATCTGTGTGAGTGATTGGCCACCTGGCATATGGTGCACAGCCCAGTGTCACACCTGGCCACAATTCTGGCTGGATCTTTGGGCAATATCAGAATAGCCCTACTGCAGGTTTTAACTTGGGCCACTGTTCTCAGTTCCTAAATGTGTGGGAAGTGGTTGGGTGCTCTCCTTACCAAGCCAAGGTCACATCAAGTGGTTCACCTTTTTTTTGTAATTTCTCATTAGTCTAAATGCTACCAGGCCAGGATCACTCTTTGTGTGAAMCAGCCCCACCATCTAGCAATGTCCCCACTGGGACCTTTTCCCTGGCACTGTCATAACCAGGGTCAATAATGTGAGCTCAGGCATCTTAGCCTGTGTCTTTGGTAATTCCTCTTTTTTCAACACTCATCTCTTGTTGCAACATCCTTGCACTACTTCACTGTATTTTTGCAGTTTAGCCCTTCTGTGAACAGCTCTGTCACACCTTCACAGCCCGAAGCCCACGGGAGGGCTTGTGAGAAGGTGTACAGTGTACAAGTGTACAAGTCCTTACCTATCCCTCGCTCTCACAGCTGAAGGACTGCATTGAGGTGATTGGCATGGAACCAGAAGGATGGAATGTAGCTGTCAYTCTTACATATGAGGGCAAGGAAGGCCCAGGTTTAAGCCTGGGAGGATGAGCTGTGAAGGGGATTTGAGAAAGGAATTGCCCAGGTGRTAGGGAGGGCTTGTAGGCAGACCTGGGATAAAGGCAATGGAATTATCTGCCTCTTGTACCCTATTGGGATTTCAGATTTGTTGCTTTCTCTRATGCTGTTCCCTCAGACTTTTGAAGACCTTCCTGTGAAGCTTACCAAAGCTTGATGTCTTCTGTCTCAGCTCTCTTTGCTTTGATCTTTGGGAAAATGTGCCAACRTTTCTGCTCCCTGGGTGCCATGACCAGAGTCTAGGCCAGTGACTGACCCACTGCCTCCTGTTTGAACCTTCCTTCTCCAACTGGCTGACCTTTCTCTCTCCTCTGGGGGGATGCAGGTGGACAGATCTGTCCAAATGGGCTGGGACAGTGCCCTTTCCCACAGCCTTGGTGAATCATGTGCTGTGGACATGATATTTATCATTTTCACAACTGAAAATAAAACCGTTTCAGAAAGTCTGCAGCAATGGACTACCACCTATGAGAGTCAGTAGAGACAGAGTAATAAATAAAGTATTCAAGAGGGTTTTTTCCCTTCCTTTCTCTCTTTCTTTCATTATTTATGATGTCAGGAAGCTCAGTACATTTTCCCCCACGGCTTTGTGCTGGCTAACTCCCAAGCCCCCTGCAACTCCAGCGGCAGCAAACACAAGACCTGAGGCCTTTCCTTGGGGTCTCCTCTGCTGTTCCTTATCTGCTTGAGGAGCTCAGCTAGCTGGGGAAGGATCTCCACAAACACATTTGCACAGAGAAGAGCTCTGTGTCTGTTCCAATTTCACTGACAGTGCAGCTGTAGCTGGGAGCCCGGGCTTTCCGCAGTGAGAAATTATCTCCATCACAAACCATCAGCCCCAAGGAGCAAGGACCATGAGCTGTGCACACAGGGGGTGTTCCAGTGCCTGCTCTGCCAGCCCAGAGCCCTCCTTGCAGCTCAGCCACGCTGCTCTGGTGCTCCTGTGCTGCAGCAGACATGGGCTTCACCTCTGGCCCCTGAGGGTCCTGGCAGGGATGAGCTGTTTCCATGAGAGGGGCAGAAACAGTGGGATGGAGGGCAGGGTGACAGTGGGAGGGGGGAATGGTGTGCATCCACCCTCAGCTGGGCATCCTAAGAAGTAACTCTGATTCCCTTGAAACAGGCTCCCTGACCCCAAAACAGGCACGCTAACTGCTGAAGTGAAACAAATTGCATACATCTGCATATGGATATGCCCAGACTTCCTGTAACTGGAGATGGCCTCAAAGTTCCAGCGCAAAGTTTGGGGTGTCTGTTTCTAATCAAACCTGGAGAGACCTTGAATTACATATTGTGAAGATCTCCATGACAAGGAGTTAATGTGAGCACCACTGCACACTTACAAGCCCGACAGGACGGCTCAGTGCCTCCTTCTCTGCTTGCTAATCCATCCTCGCCCTCGCAGCAGTAGAAGGAGGATCTTTTCTAATTCCCACAGTTATACCCTGCTCTCTCAGTGCCTTGGCTGCCTGCTAGACCATCAGCACTTCCAAACCTTCCCTGAGGCACCGTGTCAGCTGCCRAGGGGCAGGGACAGTCCAGGATAACTGGGCACGTGGACCCCAGGCATCTCGAAGTTCCTTTGAGACAGAAGGGATGCCTGCATTCCCACTTCACCTGCAGGGGATGTGCCTTTCAAATCTCACCCCATCTGTCCTGGTGAGGAGAAAAGGGGTGCAGGAGACACAAGACCATGTTCACATGTGGCCATGAAGTAAGGTYCTGAGACAGCCAGGTATCGCACCAYTCTGCTGACACCCTCCTGGAGGGAGCTGTCATCTTTGTCACACTGTCAGAATATTTGGATTCACAGCTTGTGTCTGTTTTCTTCCTCAGGTATGCCGTTTTGGAAGGGTGATGAAGTAAAATCCTCATGTATGTATGTACAATCTTATCCATGGCATTTAATTTAGAGCAAAGGCAGCTTTTCCTTTGCACCACAGCCCAGCCAGCACACCTCAAGGACTTGACCAGCCAGAGCAACCTTACCCAGTTTTTGTGATCTCGCCTTAACACGTGCTGAAACTTTTAAACTTGTTTCTAAGCTGTCTGTTGCAGTCTTCTGCCTCCTATCTGTCATTGAAGCCTAGAAGTCAGCGCAAGACTAATATTTAGAAAGCATCCACATTTTGAGTTATGTAGGAAAAAAAAAAGGTGACTGGATTTTAGACAATAAAGACCCAAATGTGTAGGTTTATTTTGGTTCAGGGAGTCAGTGCTCTTGCAGTCTGCRCATGTAATGAAGATTTTAACACTTTTTTAGTTGTATGTGGCATCACTGATTTTATTAGCAATGATCAGATGCTTAATCATACCTTCACTCTTGTGCCCAGCTGAAGGGTAAATCTCGGCAGCATTAATCTCTCAATGCAGGTGATGATAGAATTCTACACGGGACATAAACCATTGGCTTTGTTCCAGAAGCTGCCATTACCCTTTGCTGCTGAGCAGAAAGTGGTTGGAGCATCTCCATTTCCACTCTGGATGAGTACAAGGCCTGTCCATCCCTCCCACACAGGGACCTCATTTGGTTGTTTCTGCAGAACCTGAAGGAAGGCTGGAACATGGCCTGTGCTGCTCCTGTGCTCATGGTACAGCATTCCCTGACTTCCCAATGTGGCAGCTCAGGAGAACACTGCAGGAATGTTCTGGTCTGCATGGACACCATCCATCTGTGCCGAGCTTGGCAAAGCTGCTGCTCTGCTGCTCTGCTGCTCTGCAGCCCCCTGAGCTCCACAGCAAAGGGGGACGCTCTCAGTGACTACTCATGGTGCAACTCACAGGCTAAAAATACCTGTGAAATACCTGACCATCTTGAGGAGATAATTACAGGCAGAAAATTCCTATAGAAAAGTCTACTTGTAGAAGAATAAAAGGGGGAAAGGAACGATTCCTTCTACTGTGYTCCTCCTGACCACACCTAGGGCTCCTCACTTTGAGAAGATGCTTATTTTTCAGCATCAGAGGGGCATCAGGAACAATACTAAGGCCTGGAGCAGAAAGCTCTTAAAAACTCATTGTGTTCCTGAAAAGCAGTCTGGGGACAATGCTGAAGATGCCACAGAGTGATCCATGGGTGGTTTTTTGGTGGCCCTGAAGCCYGTGTGTATCTTGAGTCACTGACTCTATTTCCACTGCGTGCCTGGGAATCCACCTCAGCCCTGGCTGCACTTAGGCCCTCTTTTTCCTGGCTGGCTAGCTCTCCTGGAGTACATCACTGTGTGGGTTTGGGGACAGACAGCTTGATAAACATTAGTGCTGCTGAGAAGTTTACATCACAGCAAGGCTGGGGAACGTGTGCTATTTGTTTGGGAAAATTGCTGTTCCTCTCACTTTTATTCTGAACCAGCTTTTTTCCCCCAATACAAACATCTGTTTTTGAGGGCATGTGTTGCTTTATTGCCTGATTAGCTGGATTCACACAGCCTGTGGCTACTTGGGGAGAGCTCAGCATTCTCTGTACAAATGCAACATGTGCTGCTTGCTCCTCTTTCATGTTTTTTAAAGGACGCTAACAAAACTGCCTTTTACATAAACAAATCAATTCTGAAAAGTCTGCAAGAAGCTGTGGCTAGAGAAAAAGGCACAGCTCATTCCCCAAGTTCTTTTTCATGTGGCACATTCATCTTAAAAGCAGGAGAGTGCTGACTAGCAAATTTTGAAGGCACAAAAATGCTTCTTGCAACCTGCTGCAGTTGCAGATGACTTTCTGTCTCCCAGAATGTCATATTAGGAAAAAGAAAGAGCAARAAAATGTACTGCCATTGCCTCCATGGAGAGAAAATGAGACTGCTCCCTTGCATACCACAGCTTCCTCACTACTGAGTGTGAAGGGAGATTATTGCTTATGCCAATATTCTGGAGTTGGGCATCTCAGTTCTCTCTGATGAGCCCATTAACTTCCCAGTGACATGGTTTCATCCTTTCTGACACCTGAAGGTCTTCAGTATTGCGGGGGGTGACACAGTACCGTGGGGATATGCCAGGACCAGCCACAAGATGACTTTTGAAGTGACAGCCACCTTAGTGGCATCAGAGCTTCATTAGGTCCCACAGAAGCATCCCCAGGCACAGGGCTGGGGGGGATCAGCTGCAGGTTTGCAGTGTGCCAGAGTGAGCAAAGTTTGAAAGTGTGACAGACAAGATGGGTCAGCTACTGCATTTTTAAATGTCTTGCTTCCCACTGTAGACATCAAACACAGCTAGGAAAAAAACTGTGGGTTTCTGCTCTGTCCTGCTTGTGTCTGCCAAAATAGTGCATGTGAACCAAAAGCCATCTAAAACCTCTGAACTGATATATCCCCCATGTGAATCAGCCAAGCAAGATGGACAAGGCTGGCAAAGATGGGAATGGGACTTGAAAGGGTTTTCAGTTCTCTGGTTTTGATACATTTTGGATAAGTAGTCTCCTCCTTCCCAAGCAGTCCTGCATTGCCTTGCCATGGCAGTGATCACCTGAAGGTCTTGGTTTGTCTCAAGATTCTTAGAACCAGACGAAAGTACCCAACTGCTCTGAAGACTTGGCTCAATGCTGAATAGACAAAATAAGTGATATCATTAAGAAAAAAATCAGTATCATTAACACTGGACAAAGTATTGAATGGTGTCATCTCAGTCATAGACTCATACCTACAMACAGGCTAATAATAACTGTTTTTTGGGATTTCAGTCCATAAGAGTCCACAGATCCTCGGACAAGTGAAAGGCAGAACAGACAGGTCCCCAGTGTTCTTTGCTGAAGACTTTTACTCTCCACAAACAGGCACTGTAGGGTTTTGCACAGCTCAGTGGTCAGTCCCAATGTGGGAACTCTGTTCTGCTCCATTCTGAGCTGGGTTTTCCTACTGGGACATCCCTGCTGGCTGTCGGCATCTGGAGCAACATCTGCCTAATCCCCCTGGTCTGTCTTACCTTGGGATCATTCAGTTATCCCACTGTTGTGTTTCTTTTAGAAAAATCTAGATCCAGCAAGGTTGCTCCTCCCTGGCTTGGATGCCGTCTGCAGCCGAGTTAGGGACAATAGCATTTAAGGATTCAATGTCCCCTCCCTTTCCTGGAGCCTTGTGAAGTCAGGCCCTGCACTGGAGCAGGGAAAGGTGAGTGCTGGGGAGCTCTGGGGCTGACAGCTACTGAGGGCTGTTCAGATGTGAGAGGCAGGGGAGGCTCATGCAGGGCTTAGGGCTGAGCTCTCATTCTGAAATGAAGAGCATAAGTTCCCATCATATGCAGATTTATATATTTATCAGGGAGGCAGGAGGCATTAGTGCAACCTGCCACCTGTGTGTGTGTGCTGCCTTCCATGCTAGCCACACACCAAGCGAGGCCCCACCAGCCACCACCTGCCACAGAAGGGACAAATCAGCCWTCCAGGTAAGAAAGGGATGGGGGATGACACGTCCCGCTGCTGAGGAAGGCTGCCGAGACAAAGCTGCCTGAAGGAAGTTGATCCTTGCTCTGATGTCTGGCTATGGCACAGTTTAATTCCCTGCTGCCAGCTTGCAGAGTGATTCACCCCATCCTGTGGGTCGGTGCCT